GGGACCAGAATCGTTACTCAGGGACACAGAATTGTTACTCGGGACACAGAATTGTTATTTCGGGGACAGAAAACAGAATTTTTAAATAAGGGCCCCAGAATTGTTACTCGGGGAAAACAGAATTTTTTTCTGAGGGACACAGAATCTTTAAATGAGGGACCCAGAATTGTTACTCGGGAACAAAATTTTGTTTCAGGGACGACACAAAATTTGTTACTAAGGGAACAAAATTTGTTACTGGGGGGACACAAAATTTGTTCTGGGGAAAACAGAATTGTTACTCTAGGCGACACAGAATTGTTACCTCTGGGCAGACACAGAATTGTTTACTCAGGGGAACAGAAATTGTTACTCCAGGGACAGAACAGATTGTTACTCTAGGGACACAAAATCGTTATCACCCCAGGTACAACAGAAATAGTTACTCAGGGACAGACAGAATTGTTACTCAGGGACAGACACAGAATTCTTACTCAGGGACACATGAATTGTTACGCAAGGACCAGAACAGAAATTGTAACTCGGGGACACAGAATCGTTACTCAGGGACACAGAATTGTTACTCAGGGACACAGGCATTGTTCACTCAGGGACAGAAAACAGAAATTGATACTACAGGTGGACACAGAATTGTTACTCAGGGACACAGAATTGTTACTCAGGGACACAGACTAGTTACACAGGGGAGGACACTGAATTGTTACTCAGGGACACAGAATTGTTACTCCAGAAGACAGACACCGAATCGTTACTCAGGGACACAGAATTGTGTACTTCAGGAACACAGAAACAGACATCAGAATTTACTCAGGGACACAGAATCGTTACTGAGGGACAACAGAAATTACTCAGGGACACAGAAATGTTACACAGAATTGTTACTCAGGGACAGACACAGAATTGTTACTCAGGGACACAGAATTGTTACTCATGGGACACAGAATTGTTACTGAGGGACACAGAATCGTTTGACTGAGGGACACAGAATTGTTACTCAGGGACAGGAACACAGAATTGTTACTCAGGGACACAGAATTGTTACTGAGGGCCACCAGATCCGTTACTCAGGGACCTAGAAATTGTTACTCCAGGGACACAGAATTGTTACTCAGGGACAGACACAGAATTTTTACTCAGGGAACACAGAATTTGTTTACTCAGGGACACAGAATCATTACTGAGGGACACAGAATCGTTACTGGGGGACACAGAATTGTTACTCAGGGACACAGAATTGTTACTCAGGGACAGCGTTACACAGAATTGTTACTCAGGGACACAGAATTGTTACTCAGGGACACAGAATCGTTACTGAGGGACACAGAATCGTTACTCAGGGACACAGAATTGTTACTCAGGGACACAGAATTGTTACTCAGGGACACAGAATTGCTACTCAGGGACACAGAATCGTTACTCAGGGACACAGAATCGTTACTCAGGGACACAGACTTGTTACTCAGGGACACAGAATCGTTACTGAGGGACACAGAATCGTTACTGAGGGACACAGAATCGTTACTCAGGGACAGACACAGAATTGTTACTCAGGGACACAGAATCGTTACTCAGGGACACAGAATTGTTACTCAGGGACACAGAATCGTTACTCAGGGACACAGAATCGTTGAATTAAAGAGTATGTCAGACAACACGCAGAGGAGTGGCAGAGGAGGCAATGTTTCAGGAGCGAGCAGATGTGGCAGCAGAGGAAGGGGTCGAGGCAGCACTAGTCGCAGCCAGAGGCCAGTGCTCCCGGTGTCATCCAGCGGTCGTGTCTCCACCGACAACCCTGCCGTCATCGATTGGTTGGCTCGGTCGTCTTCCTCTTCCCAGGTCACCTCTGACACCTACAGCCAACGGTCGGTGGGTACGTCAGACACAACTGTTAGTTGGCATGGCCCGGGAGCAAGCCCACTGAAATCACGTGTCCTCTACCTGCCCCTGTCCTTTGGTGTTCCCTCACCAAGCGAAGTATCGCATGCTGTGGGCTCAGCCCCACTGTACAGTGAGGAAGAGCTAACAGAGGGCGGTCAGGAACGGGGGGAGACATCCGCCTCTTCAGCAGCCAGGCGAAGAAGTACTGGCGAGGAGAGTGGCTCGGTAGCCGGTCTAGAGACAGGTCTGTCTCCTGACCCACATGCAGCCGAGGGGGCTAGTAGTGAGGCGGAGACCCTAATTGATGATGATGAGGCTGATCGCACTTGGCAGTCCTCGTCGTCATCTGCCAGGCCCGTAATCTGCCATGGGCCCCCGTACCGACTCCTTATGCTGCTGCCAGGCCCGTAATCTGTCATGGGCCCCTGTACCGCCTCCTCATGCTGCTGCCAGGTCCAGAGTGTGTCATGGGTCCCTGTACGGCCTCCATTGCTGCTGCTGTCTCCATCGCCACACTCTGCCATGTGCCACTTTCAGGTCTCCTCACACTGCTGGTGGGTTCCATTTTGTCATAGGGTGCTGGCAGATTACGGGCCTCCCATTGCTGCTGCCAGGCCCGTAATCTGTCATGGGCCCCTGTACCGCCTTCTCATGCTGCTGCCAGGTCCAGAGTGTGTCATGGGTCCCTGTACGGCCTCCCATTGCTGCTGTCTCCATCGCCACACTCTGCCATGTGCCACTTTCAGGTCTCCTCACACTGCTGGTGGGTTCCATTTTGTCATAGGGTGCTGGCAGATTACGGGCCTCCCATTGCTGCTGCCAGGCCCGTAATCTGTCATGGGCCCCTGTACCGCCTCCTCATGCTGCTGCCAGGTCCAGAGTGTGTCATGGGTCCCTGTACGGCCTCCCATTGCTGCTGTCTCCATCGCCACACTCTGCCATGTGCCACTTTCAGGTCTCCTCACACTGCTGGTGGGTTCCATTTTGTCATAGGGTGCTGGCAGATTACGGGCCTCCCATTGCTGCTGCCAGGCCCGTAATCTGTCATGGGCCCCTGTACCGACTCCTCATGCTGCTGCCAGGCCCGTAATCTGTCATGGGCCCCTGTACCCAAGCCTCCTCATGCTACTGCCAGGTCCAGAGTGTGTCATGGGTCCCTGTACGGCCTCCCCATTGCTGCTGTCTCCATCGCCACACTCTGCCATGTGCCACTTTCAGGTCTCCTCACACTGCTGGTGGGTTTCCATTTTGTCATAGGGTGCTGGCAGATTACGGGCCTCCCATTGCTGCTGCCAGGCCCGTAATCTGCCATGGGCCCCCGTACCGACCTCCCTCATGCTGCTGCCAGGCCTGTAATCTGTCATGGGCCCCTGTACCGCCTCCTCATGCTGCTGCCAGGTCCAGAGTGTGTCATGGGTCCCTGTACGGCCTCCCATTGCTGCTGCCAGGCCCGTAATCTGCCATGGGCCCCAGTACCGACTCCTCATGCTGCTGCCAGGCCCGTAATCTGTCATGGGCCCCTGTACCGCCTCCTCATGCTGCTGCCAGGTCCAGAGTGTGTCATGGGTCCCTGTACGGCCTCCCATTGCTGCTGTCTCCATCGCCACACTCTGCCATGTGCCACTTTCAGGTCTCCTCACACTGCTGGTGGGTTCCATTTTGTCATAGGGTGCTGGCAGATTACGGGCCTCCCATTGCTGCTGCCAGGCCCGTAATCTGTCATGGGCCCCTGTACCGCCTCCTCATGCTGCTGCCAGGTCCAGAGTGTGTCATGGGTCCCTGTACGGCCTCCCATTGCTGCTGTCTCCATCGCCACACACTCTGCCATGTGCCACTTTCAGGTCTCCTCACACTGCTGGTGGGTTCCATTTTGTCATAGGGTGCTGGCAGATTACGGGCCTCCCATTGCTGCTGCCAGGCCCGTAATCTGCCATGGGCCCCCGTACCGACTCCTCATGCTGCTGCCAGGCCTGTAATCTGTCATGGGCCCCTGTACCGCCTCCTCATGCTGCTGCCAGGTCCAGAGTGTGTCATGGGTCCCTGTACAGCCTCCCATTGCTGCTGCCAGGCCCGTAATCTGCCATTTTGGGCCCCAGTACCGACTCCTCATGCTGCTGCCAGGCCCGTAATCTGTCATGGGCCCCTGTACCGCCTCCTCATGCTGCTGCCAGGTCCAGAGTGTGTCATGGGTCCCTGTACGGCCTCCCATTGCTGCTGTCTCCATCGCCACACTCTGCCATGTGCCACTTTCAGGTCTCCTCACACTGCTGGTGGGTTCCATTTTGTCATTTTGTCATAGGGTGCTGGCAGATTACGGGCCTCCCATTGCTGCTGCCAGGCCCGTAATCTGTCATGGGCCCCTGTACCGCCTCCTCATGCTGCTGCCAGGTCCAGAGTGTGTCATGGGTCCCTGTACGGCCTCCCATTGCTGCTGTCTCTCCATCGCCACACTCTGCCATGTGCCACTTTCAGGTCTCCTCACACTGCTGGTGGGTTCCATTTTGTCATAGGGTGCTGGCAGATTACGGGCCTCCCATTGCTGCTGCCAGGCCCGTAATCTGCCATGGGCCCCCGTACCGACTCCTCATGCTGCTGCCAGGCCCGTAATCTGTCATGGGCCCCTGTACCGCCTCCTCATGCTGCTGCTCAGGTCCAGCTGCCAGTGGTGTGTCATGGGTCCCTGTACGGCCTCCCATTGCTGCTGCCAGGCCCGTAATCTGCCATGGGCCCCCGTACCGACTCCTCATGCTGCTGCCAGGCCCGAAATATGTCATGGGCCCCTGTACCGCCTCCTCATGCTGCTGCCAGGTCCAGAGTGTGTCATGGGTCCCTGTACGGCCTCCCATTGCTGCTGTCTCCATCGCCACACTCTGCCATGTGCCACTTTCAGGTCTCCTCACACTGCTGGTGGGTTCCATTTTGTCATAGGGTGCTGGCAGATTACGGGCCTGCCATTGCTGCTGCCAGGCCCGTAATCTGCCATGGGCCCCCGTACCGACTCCTCATGCTGCTGCCAGGCCCGTAATCTGTCATGGGCCCCTGTACCGCCGCCTCCTCATGCTGCTGCCAGGTCCAGAGTGTGTCATGGGTCCCTGTACGGCCTCCCATTGCTGCTGTCTCCATCGCCACACTCTGCCATGTGCCTTTCAGGTCTCCTCACACTGCTGGTGGGTTCCATTTTTTCATAGGGTGCTGTATGGCCTCCCATTGCTGCTGCCTCCACCGCCACACTGTGGCTCCACAGTCTGGTTTTGGCCCCGTGACTGCCCAAATGAGTGAAGTGTGCGGTGATTCTAAGATCGACGGCACTCATCTGCATGTCATACTGACTGACATTATTATTTCTCTTCCCCAGCAGACTCCAAGGGCATTTAAATTAAAGGTACAGTGTTCTGCACTAATATAAAGGCTCTCTGAAGCCTAGAAACACCCTTTTTATAAGTTAAATTCGCAGCGAATATATTCGACTCAAATCGAATTTATTCCGCGAATTCGCCGAATCAGCCAAATCGAATTTTTGAATAATTCGCTCATCTCTATTTATGATGTTTGAGATGTAATTGTCTATTCTTATTTTTCTATTGTTATTTCTGTGAAAATGATTAATAAATATTTTAAATAAAAAAAAAAAATTAAACTCTTTTAAAAAAGGGAGAAGGGATGTGGCTTACCGGTGCTGTGTCCATTTGTGGACACACACAGCCCAGTTCAGGAGCACACATGAACGGGTCCCCCTTAGCACCTTTGCTAAGGAGGTACCCAGAGGAAGGAGGAGCAGACAGCCCCAGGGGGACTGTTAAGGAGGTTTTTAAGAGACTGATTTGTGCAATATTGTTGCACAGAGTAGGTAAGTATAACATCTTTGTTATTTTGTATTTCAATGGTTTTTTAATAATTTTAAACAGTATAAAACAGAGGCAACAAAACACGCCCACGCAGGGGCTATCAATTGCACAGATAGAAAATGCATAATAGAGCAATAAGGCAAAATGTATGCCCACGCAGGGGCTATCAATGGCACATAGGTTACAATAACATCAGTGAAACTCAGATTATCGCAACTAAAGACAGCTGTCCACTGTCACATCAAAACAAACAGAAAAGGAAAGAAGAAAAGCAGAGAAGAAAGAAAGAGAAAAAAAAAAAAACAAAAACACACACCAAAGAGCAAGGGTCCCATGAGCGCCAATACAAAACTCCATCACCTCCCTACACTGGCCGGGGGGAGCGTGGGAAAGGCATATTGCAACCACGGCTCCCATATTTTCAAAAATTTATGTTGAGAATCGTTGCATATACTCGACATCTGTTCATTGAGCATCATAGTAGTCATACGATCCCGCACCCCCTGAAAAAGTACAAACGGACTCTTCCAGGCCTGGGCAATTGTCCTAGTGGCCGATAAAAACAAATAGGAAGCCAACCGCTGCTGACGAGCCAAGAGGCCCGGTATGGGGCAATGAAGCAAAGCATACCGAGCATCCCGGCGTATGGAGAGATGAAACAAAGTGAAAAGGAGGGCCAAACACACGAGACCAAAAACGAACCAACCTCGGGCATGACCACCAGATATGCAGTACATCGCCACGATGGCCACAACCCTGAAAACATCGATCACTACAGGCAGGTTAGCCTGGGCCAAAGAGCCGGCACCCAATACCAACGGAACAATACCTTATAGGCTGCTTCCAGCGTGGTCGTATTAAACGAACATTTAGCTATGAGTGACCAGGCTTTATTCCAGTCCTCCAGATCCACAGCCACTCCCAGGTCGCGTTCCCACTGAACTACATATGAAAGAGAAGTGTGCGACGAGCATCTGTTCAAAGCTGCGTAAAGAAGGGAGATAAGGCCCAGGGCGCCCGGACGCTGCTGGCAAAGCCGTTCAAAGGCAGATTTCTGATATGGGAAAGCAGAAGTGGCCCTCAGCGAGAGTAGCCAGTGCCGCAATTGAAGGTACCGAAAAAATTCCGCTGGGGGAACATCCCGAGACTCCCGGAGGACATTCCAGGTGGGAAAGGACCGAAAAAAAAATCAAAAAATGTCGCACCTGTGAGAAACCCATGAGCCACCCACCAAGAAAATGCCCTCGGGTGATCTAGACCCGGCGGGAAAAGAGGGTTATTAATGATTGGAAGCAAGGGCAAGAAAGGTGACATCAGGCCACTGGAGTAACATACCGAGTCCCAGACTCGTAGGCCATGGAGCAACATCGGACTGAGCGCCGTAGGGCGCAGGGCAGGGGGAAGCCATAGAAGTGTCGATAGTGCGATAGGGGCACAATTAGGTAGTTCCAGTAGGACCCAGAGAAGAACATCGGAGGAAGTGTGCAACATAGACAGTGGGGCAATTTGGCTCGCCTGATAATACTTAGTTACATTGGGTACCCCAAGACCACCTTGGAGTCTATGAGCAAAGAGCGTATTTCTAGAAACTCTGGGATGCTTATTGGCCCAGATAAAACGCATAAACTTCGCCTGAAGCAACCGAAGAAAATGAGGGGGAACCCGCACTGGGAGGGTGCGAAAATAATATAACAATTTCGGCAAGATGGTCATTTTCACTGAATGAACCCGTCCTATCCAAGACAGGTGCGGAAATTGCCAGGAATGCATAAGAGAAGATAAGGAGCTAAGCAAAGGATAATAATTTGCAGCAAAAAGGGAGTCATAGGTGGGGGTCAAGCGAATGCCCAAGTATTCAAGAGAAGAGGAAGCCCACCAGTAAGGGAAGTGGGATTGTAGGCGCGAAACCAAATCTGAAGCCAAGGTAATATTGAGAGCAACGGTTTTATCCAAATTAATACGTAGACCACATCTTTGTTATTTTTAAGCCAAAAATAAAAATATCCTTTACTATCACTTTAAGATATACATGGAAAGTACAATATTTCTTTCAATTAAGTATCATAAATTGTATTGTGTACTGTGTTAGCCATAAATAAATATTCTAGTTAATGCAATTTGTTTTTGTGACTTAACTTTTGCTATCATGACAGATAAAAGCATAGGTGTGTACAAAAAATATACATATATGAGGTAACGGTGTGATATACTAATGTACAGTAAATGTGAAATCTAACTAGTACAATTACAGATAAAACATAAACAAGATAAATTACAAATTACAAGAATTGGCGATAATAAGTGTTTGCTAGCAATACCTTATAAAGAATTAAAGTAGTATTAGACTCTCAACTTTTTTTTTAGCTCATAACTTTGAGCACCATAAAATAAATATTCCACAATCAACTATTCGTTAAAAGTCTTACCCAAGCCCTTGTATATTTTAGCTTTCAATGCTGTTGACTCTTTCTTTCTGAGTTCTGCTTCCCTTAACTTCTGGTCTTGATTCAGAGGAAACAGTGGACAGTGCAGTCTTCAGCATGTCTGTTAGCTTAGAGAAGGAGGGGAGAGGAGGAGAGAGGAGCAGCGGAGCGCCTTGCCACCTAGGCTATGGGGCTGTGTGCTTCTATTGATACACACAGTAGAGACACAACTCTAGTCCCTGCATGCAAAAGTGGCTCCATAGATATTCTGAAAGAGAAAGGAGACACCCTAAAACAGGAAACCTGGGGCAGAGGTCATGACAATAGCTTAAAATGTAACATAGGCAAGGATTAAATGGTGAAGAAGCTGCATACTCAATAAGTGGTAAATCATCTGTTGAAAATGAGGGTTTAACCACCTTCCGCTCACCATATAGTACAATGACGGATGCAAGGTAGTTCTCTCATTCTGATAGGACGTCATATGACGTCCTTCCATTCTCACCGCTCATGCTCGGCTCAGGGAGCGCGCGGCGTTCACTGGTGCGCTGTGTCTCTTAGATACAGCGGATCACGCAAAGAGCCTAAGATGTCGGCTCGGTCATGTGATCAGCTGTATCCAATCACAGCTGATCACATGTAAACACGGTAATGCCGGTTATCGGCATTTCTCTCCTCTCGAGCTGTCACACTGACAGCTCGAGAGGTGAGGAAAGCCAGTAATCGGCTTTCCGCGGAGGGGACATGTACACTGATCATCAGGGCACTGATGATCAGTGTGCCCTGATGATCAGTGTGGCCCCAGAAGTGCCACCTGTCAGTGTCCATCAGTGCCAGCAGTCAGTGCTCATCAGTGCCACGTGCCAGTGCCCATCAGTGCCACATCAGTGCCACATATCAGTGCATACCAGTGCACATCAATCTCACATATCAGTGCCCATCTAAGCTGCCTTTCAATTTCACTCATCAGTGCCACCTATCAGTGCCAGTCAGTGCTGCCTATCAGTGCCAGTCAGTGCCGTCTATCAGTGCCAGTCAGTACCGCCTATCAGTGCCAGTCAGTGCTGCCTAATAGTGCCATTCAGTGCTGCCTTACAGTGCCTGTCAGTGCCGCCTAACAGTGCCGCCTATCAGTGCCATATATCAGTGTCATGTATCAGTGCTGCCTTTCAGTGCCCATCAGTGATGCCTGTCAATGCCCATCAGTGTAACCTACCAGTGCCTCCTCATCAGTGCCACCTATCAGTGTCCATCAGTGCAGCCTATCAGTGCCCATCACTGCAGCCTCATTAGCGCACATCAGTGAAGGAGAAAAATCACCTATTTACAAAATTGTATAGAAAAATCACCTATTTACAAAATTGTATAACAAAAAAAGAAAAAAACTAAGAAAAATTGTTTTTTTTTTTTTGCTGTCTGTGTCCAAAATTTTCAGTGGTTTTTGGTTTGTTTAAGAAAAAATAAAAATCCCAGAGGTGAATAAATACCACCAAAAGAAAGCTCTATCTGTCTAAAAAAAATGATAAAAATTTCATATGGGTACAGTGTTGCATGACCGCGCAATTGTCATTCAAAGTGTGACAGCGCTGAAAGCTGGAAATTGGCCTGGGCAGGAAGGGGGTATAAGTGCCCTGTAGGCTAGCGGTTCAATCTTCGTGCCATTCATTTCCCCGCTGTAAATCAGTAATTTACAATGTGCCATTGTGTTTTCAATAGAATAAAAACACCATTTGGTGATGCATGAAAGATTTGATCTGAAATGTAATGGTAACATTTGGTCTGTGCACAAGAACACATTTGTTCATGAGAATCAGTCTGTGCATGCGAATGAGCCTACAGGAGAGCAAAGGCAAGTCTAAGTGAATCTTTCGATTGAAGTATGAGCTGAAAATTCTTGGATATTTTCTTTAGGGCATTCAGGTGTGAATTAAGTGGAAATATGCTTGGGGATGCTGTTTTTATTTCAGGAGTTTGGATCTGTGGACCTGATACTCGGCTCTGTGGATCCCCCTGGTTTATAACAATGCTGCAAAGAGAATGCAGCTGTTTGTTTATGCTCCTTAGCCTTCAATACATATTGATATTTGTAAAGTCTATCTCTGAGCAAAACTTTTTTTTTTTAGTTTTGGATAGAGTAGGGGAAGGGTTAGACATTCTGTCACGCTTTTATAGCTGTCTTTATTGGGGAGATTCACCACTCTATTTGTACTGGTAACCACTGTCACCATGAAAGATCATGAGGGGAAATCATCCAACATTTTAGAATTGTTTACAGAACAATAGGTGAGTGGAATTCTTAATGGGGACCCTCGTTTCAGGGACAGTTGCTTAACATAGGGATTTCCCCTCACTTTGGGAAATTTTCACTAACTTCCTGTTACATCTTTTGGACAGGAAGTTAACAAACATTTTCTCAAAGAGAGCAACAGAATAACCTAGTGGGGTTTGGTATTTTTCAACTAGAATCCAAACTTAAGAAAAAAATAAAAGTTTTGGTTGTACATACATGTGGAGAGGTGCAGTGAGGGGACAGTGGTGAGGGGACAGTGAACACACAGGGGAAGATTTACTAAAACTGGTGCACTCAGAATCTGGTGCAGCTGTGCATGGTAGCCAATCAGCTTGTAAATTCAGCTTGTTCTATTGAGCATTGACAATAAAACCTGGAAGCTGATTGGTTCCTATGCAGTGCTGTACCAGATTTTGCACCATGCAGGTTTACTGAATCAACCCCACAGAGTCAGGTTGCAGTAAACTGAGCAGTATTGAGAAGAATGCCAGACAGACCCTCTATCGGGAGAGGGCCGCTTAGGGAAATAACTCACAGTTCAATGCAGTTCAACATGTGGCTGAAGAGAAATGCCAACAGTACCCGTTTCAGCGGGTGAAGAGCGGCCTTGCCAGTCTGGTCCCAAGTGTGGAGGCTTCTTTCTAGGATAGCAAGTCCCCAGCCTGTCCCTTCTTGTCACAAAGCTTTTCCTTATGGTAGTTACTTTATTTAACAAGCAGGGTCTCTCTCTCCTACTCTAGCCACTTGCAAAATGTGCACCAAAATCCGGTGGAAGGGACTTATATAGACCCTGCTGGACCTAGATGTCCTTCAAGGGTCATATGGCCACAGCGTAGCCAACTGGAACACTGTTCCATTCACCCAGGTAACCAAAGAGAAACTATGTTTCCCTTTGACTTCCTTTCCAGGCTGTGGTAGCATTTAAGTGCCACCTACAGTAAAACAGGAAACAGACTTCACCTGTCTACACTTTAAAACATATTGGGTGTAAACCAGGGGTGGACTGACAACTCATGGGGCCCCCAGGCAATAGGGGATCATGGGGCCCCTGTGTCCTTGCCCACACCCAAAAAAGCCTATGAAAAAGCCAATGAAAGGTACCAGGGGCATCTCATGGGGCCCCCTACTGACCCCGGGCCCTCGGGCAGTGCCCGAGTGCTCGAATGGTCAGTCCACCCCTGGTGTAAACAATATTTTATGGTGTGTTTTTGGGTGAAAGTCCTGTGTTGTGTAGGTGGGTGGTCTGTTGATTTAATGCTCAAGAATGTTTAAATTATTTTCTATTGGATGCAAATAACGGTATCAAGGAATCTGATATGGGAATCAGAAAAGCCGAGAATAAGATTGTTAGATCACTTATGTCTTACTGTGTATGTTATCTTTACAAGAAAAATTGGGAGTGGATTCTGTTGTGCGATGTGTTAATGAGTAAGGTGAATCTATGTTCATTTTTAATACTCTATCATGTTTTAAAAAAACAAAAAATATATTTTTTCTAACATATGAGTGGCTGACTGAAGTTAGCAAAACTTCACCTTTTTTTTTTATAAAGCTCCGTGAGCATTACTTTTCAAAATTAACACTCTCTATATAATGTATCTCTTTGTGCCACTGTATTGCTTCCTATAGCATGTTCTAGCAGCTGTTACCGAATGTAGTCCCTAAAACTGAAAATTTTTGGAGGGTGCAGATCTAATGGGTTGTAGTGTAGCTCTGTGGTTCACCTTGTATAAATGCTGGCAGGTTGCCATACTGTTATTGTACTTTTAATTGTACTTTTAAATGGAGAACAGTGTCATCCAGACGACTTCTGTGACCTTCCTTCCTTTCAGTAATGGAGCATCTGTAATGTTTGTCTAACTTTTTATACTTCATTTAACTAATGAGAAAGAAGAAACTACCCATTAAAGTGATAACAAATCTAAAACAAACATTTTAACAAAGTTTTCCAGCTGCTATCAGAGCAAATAATGCAGAGTTTTTCATTTTGTACATTGAGAAATATGATTAATCATTTTGCCTTTTTATACTTCATCTATTAATTTAGATATGTTGTTTTTGCAACTTGAAAACTTGCACATTATTTAGAACTGATAGCTGCAAATTTACTTTGTCTGACCGTCATTTAAAAAAATCAATTATCAGGAGACTTTAGCCTGGAATTTGTTTGGAAATCCATCTAGAAGACGGAGGAAGATAGAGTCTCAGCTGCAACAGATAACACAGTGATTAATTGAGAGAGTCTGAGATTTTCCATAACTGAATTATATTAGTTCCCAACACTATAGTGCTGAGTTCAGAGAGGAATATTTCAAAAGTGATTGAAAAAGCTACACATCTAAATGTTTAACACTTTTCATCCTTCTTGATATGCCAGGCTGTGTACAGCATAAAGATACAGCGGTTCTTAAACCAAGCTGATCAATTTAAGGATCAATAGGGGCATTTGCTCCAGGCCCAACAGGACAACTTGTCTACCAAGAACATACTTACTAACTGTCCCAGACATTCCAGCTTTTTACTCAGTTGTCCCACTACAGCTGTGTTCCCAGTATCATAGTGTGAGGTTCTATGTGGGTTAATGCTCATACACAGCAACCAGGGCCACCAATAGGAAACCTGGCATGCATACATGCAAAGTGAAGAAGACATGCAGCTGTTGTGGGTTTTCTTGTTGTGTACAAGAGAAAAGAAATAGCCTTTGATGCTCTTGGCGGCCTGACAGAGAACTGATCTTGACCTCAGCTTTTCTGGACTGCACCAAGAGGAAAAAACATACATGCTCAATGTGTAGTGGCAGCGGTTGACACACATACGCACAAGTACAGAATACTTGCTTGCTATTCTTTGTAATAGAGTGGAAATGTCTCTTGAGGGGTACCTGATGTAAATGTCCATGAGTAAGGGTGGAGAATCCACTAGAAAAGATTGCAGAGTACAGGAGCAGGTGTTTCTGTGTATGCTCAGAACTCTGCCTCTATTTTGTATACAGGTATTATCTTCTAATTGCAGAGAAGGGTGCTACACATGGACCATTAACTTAGCATTCCCTGTCACCAGTGTGTGGAAGAGGCCAGGCTTTTGATTTAACGAAACCAAAATGATGCAGCGCTACCCTAATAAAAATAATACAATATGGCAAAAACAAGTGACATAAAGATATATATATGTGACAAAAAATCAGTGGATTGATCCTCTCTGGGGATCTCAATACAAAGTGACATAAAATAAATATACGTGCCAATAAATCAGTGGATTAATCGGGGCGGACTGACAACTCATGGGGCCCCCGGGCAATAGGGGATCATAGAGCCCCTGTGTCTTTGCCCACACTCAAAGCACGCCCAAAAAAGCCTATAAAAAAGGTACCAGGGGCATTTCATGGGGCCCCCCACTGACTCCGGGCCCTCCAGCAGTGCTCGAGTGCTCGAATGGTCAGTCCGCCCCTGGGATTGATCCTTTCTGGGATCTCAAGTAAAAAAGTGATCACACCTGGTATAAAAAAACCAGGAACCAATACCTCCACTATCCAAAATAGGATCACTCACAAAATAAAAAAACACAAATAAGCGTGAATCCCTAAATAGGGATCAATAAATTCATGCAAATGATGATGAAAATGAGAATGTTAACCCCTAAGAGGGGGATGAACAATATCATGCAGATCGTCACAAATAATGGCTAAATTAAGCCAAAAAGTAAATAGTGACATAAAATGGATCCCTAAATCTGGGATCAATTAAATACAATAGTGCCAAAAAACACACATACAAAAAGTATATTTATGAGCAAACACATTAAAAAAAAATAAGGGAACATATAGTAGTCTGTAAACATAAAAAAAACAACAAAAAACAAAAAATGAAAAATAAAAAAATTTAAAACAGCCAAGTCCAAC